AAGATCGTTCATTTTTTTTTATTAATGATCGCTTTTTTTGTTCTAAAAGATCGGTTAGTTTGTTCTTAAAGATCTACTGGTTTGTTGTAAAAGATCGTTTAGTTTATTGTTAATGATTGGTTAGTGTGTTCTTAAAGATCGGTTAGTCTGTTCATATAGATCGCTTAGTTTGTTCTTGAAGATCGCTTAGTTTTTGTTTACAGATATTTTAGTTTGTTCTTAAAGACCATTCAGTTTGTTCAAAAAAGATCGCTAAGTTTTTTCTTAAAGATCGCTTAGTTTGTGTTATTAAAAGATCATTTAGTTTGTTCATAAAGATCGCTTAGTTGTTATTAAAGATCATTCAATTTGATCTTAAATATTATTAAGTTTGTTTTTATAGATCTTTTAATTTGTTATTAAGATTCGTTTAGTTTGTTCTTAAAGATCGCTTATTTTGTTGTTGAAGACCGCCTAGCTTTTTCATAAAGATCGCTTAGTTTGTTCTTAAAGATAATTGCCTTTGTTCCTTAAGATCGATTAGTTTGTTCTTAAAGATCAACAGTTTTTTCTTTAGGATCATTTATTTTGTTCTTAAAGACCTTTTGTTTGTTCCTAAAGAACACTCAGTTTTCTGTTCAAGATCGCTTAGTTTATTCTTATAAATCGTTTAGTTTACTATTAAATATCATTTGTTTTGTTCTTAAAGATCATTTCGTTTGTTATTAAAGATCGCTTAGATTGTTCTTAAAGATCGCTTAGTTTGTTTTAAAGATCGTTTAAATTGTTCTTAAATGTCACTTAGTTTGTTAAAGATCGTTTAGTTTGTTCTCAAATATTGCTTAACTTGCTCTTAAAGATCGCTTTATTTGTTTTAAAGATTGCTTTATTTGTTTTTAAAGATCGTTTAGTTTGTTCTTAAATGTCGCTTAGTTTGTTGTTAATTATAGCTTTCGATTAGATGATCGAAAACCTTAGTCACTTTCGGCCAGATGGCCGAAAGTCTAGTCAATTTTGGCGGAAACAGAAAAAAAAACGAAAGTTAACTTTTGTCTTTCAGCCGAAACCGAAATTATGCCGAAAGTTAACTTTTCAGTTTCGGACGAAACCGAAACTTGGCCGAAAGTGATAAAATTACCATTTTCGGCGCCGAAACCGAAGTCGTAGACGAAATTCGGTCTGTCTTTTTCTTCTTCTTCTTTATTTTGAGGGCCCTCGATCAATGAATTGATCATTCTGGCACCTATGCCTCAGAGGGCTTCACGGTATTACTGTGCATGGGTTTCAAGGGGATACTTCACTGGTTGCAAGGGCTACTCAGCAGTGGTGTTACGAACTGGGAGTTGACTCTAATATATACACACACAATTAAAGGAAAATAGTTTATTCGTCAGTTCAAAAAATTCCTTTGAATTATTAACATCCAGAGTGTGCTTGTTAAAGATGCCAACACTGGGATGGGTTCATCCCCCCCCCCCACCCCAGAAAATGTTTGGTACAGTTAATATCGAGGGCTGCAATTTGACGTCTACCTGAATTTAGGTTTCCTAAGGGAAAAAAAGGTTTCACGGGCTGGACATTTCAGGGAACAGGGCATTTGTCTATGCACAAATTAGGTATTAGGGAAAATGGTGCCATACATAATTTGAATTCACTCTGTTTCGGGCGTTTCCCTGGGTGTCCCTTTGGCTCAGCTCAGTTGCGCTTCCGTACTGTCACACTGGTCTGAAAGGGAGGGCGTCGAAGTTTCCCGAGGGAAATGAAAAAGTAATTTTTGCATCTAGTGAATACTCTGAGAACTAAGTTGTGACGATGGTGCTTGCTTCGCAGGTCACAAGGTTACGAGGCCTGGGATTTTTTTTTATTGAGGACTAAAAGACAACAAATCGCCCCCTCTCCACGCACTTGGATAGCCCAAGGGAACACCATGTATGGATGGTACAGCTTGGCACGTATTGCGTCGCAGGAGTTAATTGTATATTTAATAGTTTCATTGTATTAACGCATCCGCCTACGGGACTCCTTCTCAGGGTTTGAATTCGGCGTTTCCCTTCTCTTAGATGAGTTGCCATCCAAGGTTGACGTGCATTATCCACGATGTTGAGTTATTTTATTTGTAATTGATAATAAGTTATTGGTTAAACTCCAACGCCCCCTCACCCCACACACACTTTTTCGAAAAAAAACAACACCATTTTTTCTTAAATCCTTAGCCATCTCAACCACACCCTGGTGGCAGTATCGCCAACTTTGTGAAAGTCTAGAGAACACTGTACCCCTGTTTAACCAAACGTTTTTGTAAATTTATTTTGAGGCAGCTGTGGATCCGAGTTATAAAAAAAGTACCTACCACCCCTCCCCCACCGTCCTAGGCCCCACAAACACAATAAAGAAGAAAAATGAAAGCAAATATTCTTTTTTCTTTTAAATTAAAAAAAAAGAAAAGAAAGCAAAGACAAATTTAAAATAACAGCCAGAGGCTCGGCGTGATTCAGACCATAAAAGCCAAATAAACCTCTTATTGCCCCTAACAACGACTTAACCACGCCATAAGAACGCCCTGAAAAAGACGTACCTAGACCCCTATCAACGACTTAACCACGCCTCTAACGACTTAACCACGCCTCTAACGACTGAACCACACCTCTAATAATGGCCTAACCACACACCTCTAACAACGCCCGAACCACGTCCCTAAAAACGACATAATAGAGTCCCTAACAACGACCTAATAGCGCTACCATTAAAGACCTAACAACAATCTAATAGCGCCCCTAATAATGACCTTACAACGACTTACAGTTCCCCTAATAATGACCTAACAACGCCCTACCAAAGTACCTAAAAACGACGTAATAGCGTCCCCAATAATGAACTAGCAACGACCTAATAGCGCTACCATTAATGACCTAACAACGACATAATAGCGCCCCCAATAATGACCTATCAACAACCTAATAGCGCCCCTAATAATGCCTTACAACGACTTACAGTGCCCCTAATAATGACCTAACAAAGCTCTAACCAAGTCCCTAAAGCGCTCATAATAATAACATATCAACGCCCTAACCGCGTCCCTAACAGTGCCCCTAATAATGACCTAACAAAGCCCTAATCGCGTCCCTAACAGTGCCCCTAATAATGACCTAAAATGACCTAATAGCGCTACCAATAATAACCTAACAACGACCTAATAGTGCCTCCAATAATGACCTAAAAACGACCTAACAGCGCCCCTAATAATGACCTAACAAAGCCCTAACCGCGTCCCTAACAGCGCCCCTAATAATGACCTAAATTGACCTAATAGCGCCACCGATAATGACCTAACAACGACCTAATAGCGCCTCCAATAATGACCTAACAACGACCTAATAGCGCCTCCAATAATGACATAACAACGACCTAACAGCGCCCCTAATAATGACCTAGCAACGACCTAATAGCGCCACCAATAATGACCTAACAACGACCTAATAGTGCCTCCAATTATGACCTAACAAAGCCCTTACACACGTCCCTAATGCGCCCCTAATAATAACCTATCAACGCTCTAACCGCGTCCCTAACAGCGCAACCTAATAATGACCTAACAGCGCCCCTAATAATGACCTAACGACGACCTAACCACGCCGCATGCCAACCCTCAGCCAAATATCACACCTTTCATTTCATCTGTTCTAGAGATTGGATTTTTTGGGCGTTGTCAGTTTGGATTATGATTATTTACTGAGACTTTACTTACTTTTTTAAAAATGGTTCTGCGCTCATGCCATTATTCATAGTCAGGGGCAGATCCTGAACAATGATTTTGGAAAGAAAAAAAGAGGGGGGTGCACATGTTTTTTATTATTGGGAATTATTATCCTAAAGCTATGATATTCAAATTTTAAAACAGTGTTTCTCAACTTTCCTAATGCCCCGACACTTTAATACATTTCCTCATGTTGTGATGACCCCCCAACCATAAAATTATTTTCGTTGCTACTTCATAAATATGTTTTGTTCTCATGGTCTTAGGCGACCAAAAGGGGTCTTGACCCACCGATTGAGAACCGCTGTTCTAAACCGTATTTCGCATTTTTCTGATCAACTTTTTTTTTTCCGATAAAAAGTAAAAAAGCTGTTTTTTTGTTGTTCATTCAATGGGCCTTTTCTTTCATCCAAAGAGCTGTTTCTTTTATTCAAAGAGCTTTTTCTCAAATTCAGATTTGACAATATCCGAAAACGTTTAAAAATCACCGTTAACAAAATTAAAACAATTTTAAGGCTTAGAGATAATCGTATTTTAATTCTCTTTGGACACAAATAATTCTATATTAAATGCAACAGATTTTATGTTTGTAATAATTCTATATTAAATGCAACAGATTTCATGTTTCGTAAATAAAAAAGCATAATGGTAAGATATTATTTATTGAAAATAAAATAATCTGCTATGGCATTTACTCATCGAAAATCCTACAGACACACACCCTGCCCCCCCCCCCCCCCCAAAAAAACCCAACGAAACACACCCCGCCCCCCCCCCCCCCCCCAAACGTAGATGCCGGTAGATGCAAGAATCGTACATTTCATTTAATGTTTCCGAAATTTCTGGAAGTAGTGGTAGGCGTGGCTAGGGTAATTGCTACCGAGGGTAGCTTTTCACCGCCCCTTTTCACACACACACACACAAATTGGCAATTGGCCTGAAATGCCACCTCCAAATAAAAAGAGGAAAAGTTCTGTCCTGGTAGGGCCGCCACCCCCACGTACCCTCTTTCTACGCCACTGTATGGGGGGGGGTGGTTTAGGAGAGGGCGGGGGGGGGTAGAAGGCTGAAGGGAGAGGTATGGTGAAGGTGGTGGGGAGGTTGTGGAGAACTTGGACTGGAATGAGGTAAAGACAGCAGGCGCCACCGTTTGCCATCCTCCTTAACAAAAGAAAATAAATACCGTATTTGCTACACTTGAATGAGATTAAAGGAAATCCATGAGACGGTCCGGTGTATTAAAACTTGTGACATCAATCCCGTTGTTGAACATTGTGAAAGTCTTCAACATACTTTGTTCACAACATGGTCTCCATTCGAATCGCTCACATGGAATACGTAGCTCTGTTCTTGATAGCTCTCCTTCGGTTTGAGCCATCAAGTAAGTTATTTTAACGAATTTTTATGTAAGAATTCGTGGAACGGAACATAAAATTGAAATGCGTTTGACTAACGTTTGAGTTCGTAAATGGGATGATGGTGACAAGAGTAAGATGCAGTTGGGCATTTATTGTATTTTAGATGCAGTCTTTCAACTTCATTATTTTGGTCAATGATGGCCTCTGGTAAATATTTTTAATTCGCAAATGTAGAAAAAATAATGAAAACAAATTAAATCTTGATGTCAACTCCCGTTTCACAGTCTCACAGTTTCAAAGTCTCACGGTTTCTCGGTCTCACTTTGTACTCCGGTAGCCGAAGTACTTTTCATGTGAAACTGTATTATTTTTGACTCCGTGATTCCTAATTCTAATCCTGCACTGTGTACAGATTGAGTTTTCTTGTTGCACAGTTAACATTATGTTTAAGTTGGAAGTGGTAGTGGTAAATATCGCTTTAAACAGCCACTTGCGGTTACGTGGTTGGGAAGCTTGAAAAAAAAAATGAATTTAAAGCAATCATATTGCGCCCAAAATGTGTCCGCAAAGCTGGTATCTTGTGATGAGAAAGAAAATAGCACTTCATAAGTAGACCTACATACTGTGTGATTTTTTTTTAGATAAAATATTGAAAAAAAAACAAAACAAATGCATTGTTCGTCTATGTGATATTGATTTTCTGATTTTGCTTTATGTGTTATTGTTTGCCTGTCCACTTGAACCGAGAAGCGGGCGACAGTGAAGTACATACGGAGCCCTGACGTACAGTGGGAACTTTGTCTCCACTTCCGGCCAGCTGGGCTTGTCTCAGCGGTGGTTTGCAAAGCGGATTTTTCATTCTCTTAGACGAGTCCGTCCAAGGTTGACGTCGATCCAAGCTTGACGAGTCCTCTCTACCTGTATTGTGGGTTGTGAACTGCGGGGCTCCAGACCACTAGTGTTAATATCAGCTTATGATGTCGATACACTTGACCACTTGAAACGATGAAGGGAATTGATTGGGCATCCTCCCGTCTTCATGACGATGGAGTAGCTAATGGACACTTTCTGGAATGGCAGTCTGGGCTTCACTTCTCACATGAGAACCTTGACGTCTGGTTTACTTTGCCCTTCCGAAGGTCTCATTTCGCGCATCTTCTACCCGCTTAACTCATTCATTCACTGATGTTCACCAACTGGAGCGGTGATGAGCGATGATCTCCAACTCACTTATTTCGATGTTGGCTTCCCCCGTGTTTCTTATAGGTATGCACCTAAAGCGCAGAATGTCAAGGTCATGAAGTCAGCTGTAGTGGGTGTGTTTGGAATTGTGGGGTTTGTGAGCGAATGTTAACTATTTGCAAGTCACGGACGAATGATCATTTCAGTCACGAGTGAATGACATTGTGGGGATATAAAAGGAGGAGCAACTTTTGTCGCAGTCCTACGTACGTGCACGCAGTATTATGTCACTGAGATCCAGTGAACTTTGATCTTTGAGTTGGAGAGTGCGATAGGACTCGCGACAGCGAGACGTGTTTTGAGATAGTGGATTCGCTGGGATATGTGTAGCGGATGAGAAGATTGTCCTACGCATGATGGATGCATGAAACCACTGTAAGATGAACCTGATTTAATGTGGTAATACGAAGTAAATTAATGTCTGATGTACCAAAAGCTTCGTGTCGATTGATTAAATGGTCCGTTGTTGAGAATCATCTACACCCTAGACAATGTCCAAATATTCAACAACAAGAATATTGGACAGAGACTAGACCGTCTAACAAGTCTTGCACCCTCTTCCAATTCTCCGTGCAGCGGATCCTTCGGAATACGGCCTTCCTTCATTCTCTTTACATGGCCAAAACAGGTCCTCCGGAATACGGCCTTCCTTCATTGTCCTTACATGGCCTAACCAGATCCTTTGGAATATGGCCTTCCTCCACTCCCCTTAGATGGCCTAACCAGGTCCCTTGTAATACGACCTTCCTCCACTCTCCTTATATGGCCTAACCAGCGAAGACGCCTCTTACCTCGAGCGGAGAGCCTGCTGTATGTTTTGTCAATAGTAAGATAAAATTGTAAGGGCATTCACCAAGTAGCTTATGTGTTTTTGATTGCGTAAACATTGTTATTATTCATTTTATTTTCCTTTTAATAAGTAATCCTGATTAATTCTTGTGAGCATCTGTGATTTATAAAGATCATTTATGCTTTTTTTACAATTCTTATATACGAAATAGATTCTAATGGAGTTTTCTACTTTAAATATGTATTTTTTTGCTAATTTAAGATTATAATATAGAGGCATAAACCTGTACATTTTAAGTTTACCAAGGAGGATCACCAAGGTTTCAATAGCGTATGCCTGCAACAAGTCTAAATCCAACCCTGGATATGTAGATGGCGAAAAGATGTGTACGTTTTGGGAAGATGGTGCGGCTTTAAGGGGTAGTGGTAAGAAAGGCGCTAGTGTGGTTTGAGGGGGTTCTGATGCGACTGGTGCTGGTGTGATTTTAGGGAGTAGTGGTAAGAAGGTGTGCTGGGGGGAGAGAACATGGGTCTAGTTAGGGGCGAATGGGGGAGAGCGTTGTGGAGCAGGCAGTGCGAACTCTGGTGCGCAGACTAGATTGAGGCAAGACCGTCAAAAGTTATGATTACCGTTCATCTATTACCTTAGATTAGATTTCAGGATTTTAAATTCGACTATAGACTTCTGATTATAATCAGTCGAGAAGAGATTGGGGCACGATGATAGTTTACTTTGATATAGGCTTTATTTTCAACAAGAATCTGACAGCTTCGGTAAAATGGTCAATGAAGTCTGACATTTTCCACCATGTATAATTTAACTAAACCATTTTCATTAGCTAGCATTCCGATAAGATTTATAGCATACAAGCTGCCACTGGAAGCCAGCATTCCGATAAAATGTATAGCATACAAGCTACCACTGGAAGCTAGAATTCCGATAAGATGTATAGCATACACGCTGCCACTGGAAGCTAGCCTTTAGAAAAAAGTGGGATTCGAAGAGAAAGAGTTAATTTGACAGGAGGAAAAGTGGAGGATAAGGGGATGATGGAATGAAACAAAAAGGATCCCGTTAGAATGTATAGTAAAATGGACAAATGTTGGGCGACTCACAAAGTACTCAGTATTTCCTTATGGCTATTCTTGAAGGATAAAATAGGTATCAGCACTCACCATTTCATGCAATTGTTTTTTTTCCAAAAGGTTAAATTTATTTAATTAACGTTCAAATATTTAAAAATTAGGATTTTGTTCAATACTCTTTAGGGTAATTAATTATTTTCAATAATATATAGGGTATTAATAAGTATTTATTTTATTCAACAATATATAAAGTAATAATTATTTATTTACTCATTTAATATTATATATATATTAATATTAATACATATATTTTTATACTATTTTTTTCCTTCTTCCCACACCAGCCTCCGCCGTTGTCACATGTCCTAAATTAGAATGTCCAAAGGTGGATTGCCCTGGAGGATTCGCCATTGCCCTGGACACCGTCAGTAAATGTTACTCCTGCAAATGTAAGCCCTACTGCCCTAAACTCACTTGTCCGGCAACAGAAAACTGCCTCAACGGACGTGCGACAGACGCCAACAACTGCTCGACTTGCGCTTGCCGGCCAGAATGTCAAAAGATCAGGTGCAAAACCGAATGCCCAGCCGGATACCAGAACGACACCAATGACTGCCCGACCTGCACGTGCAACCCTTACGAGTGTCCAGCCGTGAGCTGCTCCCGGGACTGCCCCGGGGGTTTCGAGAACGACCGCTGGAACTGTCCGACGTGTGAATGCAGATGTCAAGCACTCAAATGCCCCAATACCTGTAAGGTCAGCGTAACGAAAAATGAGCTCGGATGCCCATTCTGCGATTGCTCACTTTGTCTCGCTTGCCCTAAATATTGCCTAGATCGATCAAAATGGGCGGTTAAAATCAAGGAATGCAACTGTGCTTGCGCCCCTTAAGTTCAGAGTTCATGCCAGTACGCAGGATTTTTTTTTTTCAAACTCGGAGATTAATGTCTAATAAAAAATTAAAGACTGGCAATTACACTTTGTGTTTAAGTTCATCAGTATTGGAATGAGTGTTTTGAGAGCATAAATTTACTGGGCCACATTCTGTGAATGTGTGGCTTTGCGAGCTTAAGTTAAAGGGGGCCAAGATGTGTAAATGAGTGTTTTGAGAGCATACGTTTAGTGGGCCAGAATTTGTGAATGAATGTTTTGAGAGCTTAAGTTGTGTGGGCCACAACTCACGTTATAACTAACCGGTTTTGGGTTATGTCCGGTTTTCTGGAGGTTTTGTCCATTCGGATTTCACTTACTCCCCCCCCCCAAAAAAAAAAACAACAACAAAAAAAAACCGCTTCCATGAATGAGACTCAGCTGTAATAACGGGTGTGACACCTTTTGTTGCACTACCCGTTTTTATTTTACTTTTGCTTCGAACTTACATTTTTTTTCCCTTCCAAATCTTGTCCAAACGTTTCACAGCTCAAGAATTACGCTTTGCATTTTCGTCTTAAGATTGTCGATTTCAATCCTACAATTTCCAACTGAAGAAGATTCTAAAATGTTGATATGAAGTACAGTGGGCGTCAAAACTAGCAGGACTGAAACTCTGAACGAGTAAATGCCTTTGTCAACGGTGGTGCATCGATCCAGGCGCCAAGTGTTCCTAGCATTGACAGGGAAGACAGGAGGCATGTTGTATCTGGAAAGGAGTCTCTCCACGGAGGAAATGTTTTCAGAGGTGACCATTATTTTTTACTCCTCCGTAAGAGGTCATTGAATAGTGTTTCTTTCAGACAATTTTCCTTCGAACTTATTTTTATGGTGGGCAGTACCAGTAGACAGAGGCGTAGCTAAGGGGGGGCATTATGGGGACATGTGTTCCTGGGCGCCAGATTAGCTGGGGGAGCCAAAATGGACTTTTGGGGGTTTTTAATGGATGATATTAATGGGTTTTAGTTGAGCGAAGGTGTAAAAATAAATCGTCTCCCCCTGGTACAAACACTATAGCTACGCCACTGCCGATGGCTTAGAAAGGGGTGAATAGGTGCTCTGCTCAGTTGTAATTTATTATTTAGATGCAGGGGTGGTACTTTCGGACAACTGCATAGTTTATATCGCGAGAGGGAGCGCACCAAACTCATAGCCCGGCCAGGGTGTAGCTGAAACTAGGGACGCCACCAGACAGTTGATCTATTGGGATCAAAATTGTGATCAGGGCCAGCGATACTGTCATTTTCATCGGAAAGTAGGACAGAAATCGAGAGCGCCAATGACTTTTCCCTACCCAGAAAATTTGTGATTATTTCAAAATCAAGGAGTGCATTTTGGAGTATACCCGAATTAAATGTTTTTATTTTAGTATTTTCTCGGGGAAAAGAATTTTCAAGCTTCCGATGTGGAATTATGTCACTAAATTATGTTACGTTCACTAAATTCACTCCGGTTGAGGCGCGTCACAACACAACCATTTGGTTCAAGCTTAGATTCAACATCGAAAGTCAAATTTTTGACGTCAAGGAAAAGGTGAGCAGAAACTAAGGGTGCTGAAGACTCCTGAACAAAAGCGGGGCAGTGATTCCAATTAATTTTTATTAATAAATTCAGAATGCAAGGATGTATTTTGGTGCATACTTGAATTCAGTGTTTCTGTTTCAGGAAATTAAGGAGAGGGAATTTCAGAGTTTCGAGTGGGAAGTGCCAAAAAAATAGCCATAATATCGATTAGGGACATCTCTAAATGTGTCCCAGCCCAACAGGAACTAAATTCATTCCTGCTGTGACGTCCTTGGCGTTATGCTTTTTGTCGATAGATACACTCCCTAGCTTATATTTGCAATTAAATCTTTGTAATCATCAGAAAAGTTTGGATGAATTCGAAATGCAAGAATGTATTTTAGCACATACTTAAATTTAGTTGTGCATCATTCTACACTTAATCGAAGAGCAACGAGGGAGATGGTAACTTTAAAAAAAAAACAACCTAAGTGTTACTTGACCTTAGAGCCATCGTATGGGCCCTGCAACCCCTGCAGCTGCAGTGACCTCGGATACTTTTGGGGCTTAACGTTGTGCTGTGGGCTGTGGATCCTTTTTTTAAATTCTCACATTTGAAGGCGAGTTTGAGGAAGGACAAAACCGAAAAACGCCAAGGGGGCACCCAAATTCATGCGACGCATCTGCTTGACCAGGTTGAGTTATACAAATATTTTTTTCTTTACATTATTGAGTATTAATATGCTTGGTCGACCGGTGAGCCGTCTGCCCCTAGGTTTCTGCCTAAATATCACTTTTTCTGCTCTGCAATCTGGCATCCTTTCACTATGTCCTGTCCAGCGCAGTCTGCATTTTTTTTTATTGTTACGACTATGGGTGGGATTTTGTTACAATTGATATAGCTCTTGGTTTGTATGGGTTCTCCAAACATCATTGTTTATCACTGGGCCATATATTTTCCTGAAGATTTTCCGTTCCCATGCATTGAGCAGGTTATCTGCTTTTCTGCTGAAGGACCAAGTCTCACTAGCGTAGGTTACTACAGGTCTTATGATAGTGATGTATGTTGTGACGATACAATTGTGCAGAGTAGAAACATTCAAGCTTAAGTAGAAGACGTTGACGTTCAGCAGCAGTACAGAAACATAAAGATAATTGTAAAGCTTCAGAGAAACTTAGAGAAATTGACGTAAAGCTATTGAGAAACACTTTGAGATATAATGACGGAAAGCTCCTGAGAAAAAATAGAGATATTGATTTAAAGCTATTGAGAAACATAGAGATATAATGACGGAAAGCTCCTGAGAAAAAAATAGAGATATTGATTTAAAGCTATTGAGAAACATAGAGATATAATGACGGAAAGCTCTTGAGAAAAAATAGAGATATTGATTTAAAGCTATTGAGAAACATAGAGATATTGATGTAAAGCTATAGACAAAAATAGAGCTGGCGTAAATCTCAATATAAAAACATATATTGTGGTAAAGCTATAGAAAAACGTAGAGATAGTTTAAAAATTTCAATTGGATTTTGTGTTATTTGGATTGATTTAAGTCTACGTCGTGCTTTAGTCTGTCTCAACGCCTAGACACCCCCAGAAATATCACAGAGAAGAGCGGCTCTGCTCTGGAATTTGCAAGTCAAAATATTGAAGTCAGGGCGGGAGGCCACCACAGTAACAACCTTTCTGTGACAATAACATCTTTTTACACGTTGAACGAAAATGAAAAAAAAAACAAAAAAAAACATCAACAAAATAAAAAAACTTACAAACAAACAATTTACGTCTATTTCTAAATAAAATTTCCAAGTTTTTTTTTAAATCAAACAGAAAAAAAAGACTGTTAAATAGAAAGGTCTATACATTTTCATGGGGTTTTAAAAACTGCTTTATCAGGTCGATCACAAGCAGTGCCGGCTCAAGGTACCTGGAAGTCGGTCAAGTGCCCGGGGCACCGTGTGCGTGGGGCGCCATCAACGATCTTCTAAAACAGACAAATCCTTGCATGTGGGCGCCATAGAGGGAGAGTAGAAAGTGCAATATAAAAATTGGCGGATCAAAGGATATACAAAAAAGTCATCGGTAGGCTAATTGTTCATACTGCCAACTGTAGGCTAATTGTTCATACTGCCAACTGTAGGCTAATTGTATATACTGCCAACTGTAGGCTAATTGTTCATACTGCCAACTGTAGGCTAATTGTTCATACTGCCAACTGTAGGCTAATTGTTCATACTGCCAACTGTAGGCTAATTGTTCATACTGCCAACTGTAGGCTAATTGTATATACTGCCAATGGTAGGCTAATTGTTCATACTGCCAAATGTAGGCTAATTGTATATACTGCCAACGGTAAGCTAATTGTTCATACTGCCAACTGTAGGCTAATTGTTCATACTGCCAACTGAAGGCTAATTGTTCATACTGCCAACTGTAGGCTAATTGTTCATACTGCCAACTGTAGGCTAATTGTATATACTGCCAACGGTAAGCTAATTGTTCAAACTGCAAACTGTAGGCTAATTGTTCATACTGCCAACTGTAGGTTATTTGTATATACTGCCAACGGTAGCCTAATTGTATATACTGCTAACGGTATAGTAGGCTAATTGTATATACTGCCAACGGTAGGCTAATTGTTCATACTGCCAACTGTAGGCTAATTGTTCATAATGCCAACTGTAGGCTAATTGTTCATACTGCCAACTGTAGGCTAATTGTTCATACTGCCAACTGTAGGCTAATTATTCATACTGCCAACTGTAGGCTAATTGTTCATACTGCCAACGGTAGGCTAATTGTCCATACTGCCAACTGTAGGATAATTGTTCATACTGCTAACTGTAGGCTAATTGTTCATACTGCCAACGGTAGGCTAATTGTTCATACTGCCAACGGTAGGCTAATTGTTCATACTGCCAACTGTAGGCTAATTGTTCATAATGCCAAACTGTAGGCTAATTGTTCATACTGCCAACTGTAGGCTAATTGTTCATACTGCCAACTGTAGGCTAATTGTTCATACTGCCAACTCTAGGCTAATTGTTCATACTGCCAACGGTAGGCTAATTGTTCATACTGCCAACGGTAGGCTAATTGTTCATACTGCCAACTGTAGGCTAATTGTTCATACTGCCAACTGTAGGCTGATTGTTCATACTTCCAACTGTAGGCTAATTGTTCATACTTCCAACTGTAGGCTAATTGTTCATATTGCCAACTGTAGGCTAATTGTTCATACTGCCAACTGTAGGCTAATTGTATATACTGCCAACGGTAAGCTAATTGTTCATACTGCCAACTGTAGGCTAATTGTTCATACTGCCAACTGTAGGCTAATTGTTCATACTGCCAACTGTAGGCTAATTGTTCATACTGCCAACTGTAGGCTAATTGTATATACTGCCAACGGTAAGCTAATTGTTCATACTGCCAACTGTAGGCTAATTGTTCATACTGCCAACTGAAGGCTAATTGTTCATACTGCCAACTGTAGGCTAATTGTTCATACTGCCAACTGTAGGCTAATTGTAT